CGACTCTTTTTGCGATTAGTTCACGCGAATATTGAAGGCTGAAGCGCCTGAAATTTAAATTAAAATAATTAAAACAGAAATGGATAAAACAAAATGCGCCAGTTTTCAGCCCCAATTAATTCCACCAAATACACTTGGAAATTTAAGGTAAACGAAAGCACCCAAAGCCAGTTTTCGTCGTTCCGACTAAAGCTACCAATAAATAATAATAATAATAAAACTTCCTTACAAAAATGAGTTTAAGCTTGAAGCACAGGCAAAGCTAATGCGAAACTTCCAATAAACAAGCAAAGTTTGTGCAGGCAATTGATTATAATCCACAAGGAAAAATTGCAAAAGTTTCGAAGCCAACCAGAAACTATTAAATTTTCCACTCACTTCGATTGACTCAACAGCAAAATCTCCTCAAGCAGGTTCAAAAGAGGCAAATAGATAAAGTCTTTTACCTCTGATCGGAACTTTTCACTTCCAATTAGTTTCGAAACACGCGCAACAAGTTGAACTCGCGTCTTTCGCAGTTGGTTGCTCAAAATCGCGCTCTTGGATCGTTCCAGTCGGCTCCAGATGTGGAATAACACTGTTGATTTTCCGATTTTCAATTTTCAGCCAGAAGTTTTCAGCGCTGTTCAGGGCGCATGTGTTCGTCTTTTAAAAAGCCGAGATTAGCAACAATTTATGTTAGAAAAAGGTGACAATATGGCATGGCGGATCAACTGGAGTCGTTCCAGGCTCCAGCTGGATAATGCATGGACTGCGCTTTAATATCGGGGATAATTCTGGATTATTAATATCTTGTGGGGATTTGATTGATGGGCTTATTTCGATGAACGCGGCAGGGAGTCGGAAAAATAATAAATAAATAATAAATCACCACTAGTGAGTAAAACAAGGATATTTGAATGTTACATCGCGAATTTATCATGCAGTTTTTCTCAATATGCCTTGGTTGACCTCGAATTTGTTTTTCTTCAAAAGTTTGCAAAGTTTTCATTTTTTGAATCGGATTTTTGACCTCTTAAAAGTCGCGTTGAAACTTGGATTAGCGTATGAAACTAAAGCTTCTAGTTCAAAAATTTACCAAAAATCAAAAAAATTCTAAATTATTATGCTAATAAAGCAGCATTTTCTCTTGAGAATGGTATCAATGACAACTTTTTGCTTAATTAAATATAAAATTGGCGAATTTTTGAAAATTGTGTAACAGAGCAATCATTTGCTCGTTGAAAAATTTGCCAAAAAATTTCGAAAGTGGGGACAAATTTGAAAATTGCCTCATTAATAGAACAACATTTTCCTTACCGAGTGATATAAGTGTCAGCGCTTTATTTAAATTAATGTGAAATTGACAAATTTTTGAAAAATTTTGAAACAGACCTACACAGACCAATGCGCGCTTGTTGATTCAAAAATTCCCCAGAAATTATCGCGAAACCAGAGAAACTTGCAAATATTTGCAGGTTTAGAGGACGAACTTGTCTACTCAAGGGTGTTAACACAAACTTTTTATATTTACTGAGTTTGGAGCAGCAAATTTTTGAAATTTGCTCACATAATCTGCTCTATGTGCACAAACCGCAGGACTGTTTGTAAAAAA